TCTGACCATTTTTCTAGTTTACCTAAATCATTTGCCATTTGGCTTATCCCTCCTGGAACATCAACCCTGTTACATATCTTAGTATCATCAGCAAAAAGACATACCTTACCATCAAGACCTTCTGCAATATCACTAATAAAAATATTAAAGAGAATGGGTCCAAGTACAGATCCCTGAGGTACCCCACTGGTGACAAGTCCAAGCTTCGAATATATTCCATTAACTACAACCCTCTGTTGCCTGTCACTCAGCCACTGCCTTACCCATTCAACAATATTGGAATCCAAACTTAAAGATTGCAGTTTATTGATAAGCCTTCTATGTGCAACAGTGTCAAAAGCCTTACTGAAATCTAGGTAAGCAATGTCTACTGCACCACCCTGATCTACAATTTTAGTTACCCAATCAAAAAAATCAATAAGATTAGTTTGGCATGATCTCCCTGAAGTAAACCCATGTTGTCTCTGATCTTGAAATCCATGTGTTTTAGATGTTCATCAATCCTATCCTTTAACATGGTTTCCATCACTTTCCCCACTACTGAAGTAAGGCTTACTGGCCTATAGTTGCCCGACTCCTCCCTATTACCTTTCTTGTAAATGGGCACAACATTCGCTAACTTCCAATCTTCTGGGACTATTCCTGTTAACAATGATTGGTTAAATAAATCTGTTAATGGTTTTGCTAGTACACCACTAAGCTCTTTTAATAGATTTGGGTGTATTCCATCAGGCCCCATTGACTTATTTGTCTTTACTTTTGACAGTTGAAATAGAACCTCTTCCTCTGTAAACTCACGTGTAATAAATGGCTCATTTATCCTTTTTCTTAACTGAAGTCCCTCTCTTTCATTTTCACCTGTAAATACCAAACAAAAATATTCATTGAGGCAGCTAGTCCTTTATCCTCTTCTACATACCTTCCTTCTATTGTTTTTAATCTAACTAATCCTTGTTTTACTTTTCTTTTCTCATTTATGTATCTAAGAAATGTATTGTCCCCTTTTTTTTTACTGACTGTGCTATTTTCTCTTCTGTGTGTGATTTGGTGGCTCTTATAACTTGCTTAGCCTCTTTCTGCCTAATCTTATAGATCTGTCTATCTTCCTCACTCTGGGTTTTTTAATAATTACTAAATGCTACCACAGTGGTTTCTTTAATGTTTTTGCTCTTCCTGATAAGCCTAATGCAATTTTCTGTTTCTTTCAGCAGTGCAACTTTTAATTGAAACTGCCCCAGTCTGATAATGACTCAGGGCCAGTGCAAGGATTTTTTCCGCCAAAGGCAAAAAAAAAAAAATTGCTGCCCCATTCACTCCACAGTGGTCTTGTGGGTTTAACCCCACGAGATGAAAGATTGTCTTACCTTGAAGGGTTAAACAAGACTCTAGTAGCTGTCACACTGACAGCCACTAGAGACACCTCCGCTACAATGCCATGTTTACAAACACAAACTCATTCACTCACTCACACTCAATTGTCCACACAATCACAATCAGTGACCAACATAAATTCACTGACTCACGCAGACATACACGGACTTATGTAGACTGACATACACACACACTGACTGATGCAGACTAACACACACACATTGACCCAGGCAAACACACACACAGACCAAAGCAGACACACACACTAACCCAAGTAGACACACACACTGATCCAGGCACACACACACACACTGATCCAGCCACACACACACTGATCCAGCCACACACACACACACTGATCCAGCCACACACACACACTGATCCAGCCACACAAACACACTTATCCAGACTCAATCCAGACACACATACTGATACACACACACACACACACAGACCCAAGCAGATGCACACACTGACCCAAGCAGACACACACACTGGTACAGACACACACACTGATACAGACATACAGAGACACAAGCAGATACACACACTGACCCAAGCAGACAGACACACATGGATCCAGACACACACACACGCACTGACCCAAGCACACAAACACACACACACACACACTGACCCAAGCAGGCATACAGACCCAAGCAGACACACAAACAGACTCAAGCAGACACACACACACTGAGCCACACACACACACACACACACTGAACCAAGCAGGCATACACATACACTGACCCAAGCACACACAGACCCAAGCAGACACACACACACACACACTGATCCAGACATACTTACACTGACCCAAACAGATACACACACACACACTGACCCAAGCACGCACAAACACACGGACTGAAACAAGCTAACACACACCATTAAGTCCCCCTCTTACCTTCATTTAATGTTAGCTCTCTGTGGGTCCCAGTCCAGGCCTGGCTGCCTTCATATACTCTTAGCTCTGCCCCTGTGATCCTCCCGCCCATTTGATCCCGAGTACAGGGGATGGAGCGGGAGCGATTGTGTGGTATGAGGTATGTAGGGGGGTGGCTCCCATTGCTCTTTGCGTGCTGAGGTTGATGGCATCGATCGCTAGTTTGCCCCTATGTAAGTGCTCTCTAGCGCCCGGTGCCATGACCTCCGACACGCAATACAGAATGTGTCCCACATAGAGGGGGGCGGCCCAAACCAGCAATAAGGCTGCTGCCAGCGCCCCCTTTAAGAATCGGCCTATAGGACGCGCCGGCCCTGTAATGACTCCTTTACACATATTCTAATTTTAGTTGTATTTTACATGTCTGTTTTGTTGGTAGTAAGTAACAGATGAGCTACATTTCATAGAACTGTAAGTCATAACATTGTGTGCAGACACATTTTTGGAGAAAAAGGGAAAGTCTGCAGGTTGGAAGAGGCAGAATATCAATAATAAAACTGAATGTCCCCAAATATAACGATACATCAAAACAATCGCCTGAAATGGGAAACAAACATTCAGTTAAAGTTGGGGATTTGCAAGGCAAAATTTAGGAGAAACACAGAACCTCAAAATATCACAGTCTATAAATCAAGCGTTTGGAAAATTGTATGTACAAATTCTGAGTCAAATTAATATAGATTTTTTAAACACATCTTGCCTTGCACTCGTGTGTGTTTGCCCGATGCGTCCTCTATTTAATTTCAGGCTGAATTAGAAATAAAGGAAATTAGGATTTTTCTAACTACATGTCAGAGTATCCACCTTAATCTTCTTAACAATTGAGTTTCGTAGGCGCCAGGAAGTGATAAATCTATACAGATCAATAGTGTTCTAATAACGCAGAGAGCTAAAGTGTCACCCTCCATTTACTTCTTGGGATTCGTCCAGCCCTTATTAACGAGCACTTGTCATGCAAATCCAGGTGGTGCTTTATGGGCAATAATATCTCATACCATGCGCTCCCCAGATTGCTAGGAAAACGTGGAGATGGAATGTTAATATTTAAGGTTTGATCTGTAGCCTATATTCCATTGAAATACATATAAACTGCACCCCAATTAGTCAGTGAGGTATGTTTGCACCCACACAATTATCACTCCATGTGCAAAGCATTCTGGGATTAAACTACAAGCATTGTGCGTGCATTGGAGTTATCGCATGCTCTGGCTAGTTATGGTACAGATCCAAACAGTGGCAGACGGAATAATATCCCAACTTAACAGAGTTTTCACCTCAAGTGTGAATTGTTGGGATTTCAAAATTTATTTCACGTTTTGGGCCAAAATAGCCAAAACTGAAACATGTTCTAACGGAGTTACTCCCTAAACTAAAGTCGGAATTGTCCGGAGTTCAAGGTGGATTTTAATTTTAAGGCCAAAGTAGCCGAATTTACAGCCGAGCTGAGTGGGAGCATCTTTGTAGTTTGACTATTTTGGCCTTAAATTTAAAATTCACTTTTAATTCCCAATAATTCTCACTTTTGTAACTAACCTTGAGAATGTTAAACTGGTACCAAAAGCGCAATACGCAGCCAACACAAGGAGTAAAAACGAAAGGGTATTCATTGTTAAAGCTGCAAGCAAACAGATAAAATAAAATAGTAAATAACACAATATAATAAAACGCAAACGGCAGGAAAATAAGCAGGGAGAATGATCGGGATGTCAGCGGGCCTCTGGGAAAACTCTGCTTTCCAAACGGGTTCTGGACACAGGGCCAATTAACATTCAAACAATGCTTTGGCATGGGGACAAGGAGAAAGGCTGGTCTGGAGAAGGGGGGCTAATTAGCCAACCAGCTGAGAACAGAATCCACTCTATCCAACCTGAGTGCAAAGCTCGCACCAGCGGCACAGCCAGCTAGTGGCCATGATAGGTACTGCGCCAGACAGATTCCTATGGGATCATCACAGACAATATGCATCAAACTTCCATATTAAAGTCTGCATGATACATAATATCACTGTATGTAAGCCACTGGCTCAGGGGGACCTTATTCCGTATGAAAGGACATTGCACAGATTCAGAGAGCTCTAAGAATGATAGGAGACCGTAACACTAAAAGAGAGGGAAGAGGAGGAAAATAAAAATAATATGTTTAAAGATTTTGTGTGATTGCGAATTGAGTAGTTCTGATGCGCAGGTTTCCAAACAGTTCTGCCCGGAGTTACGGGTGTTTATTTCCAAGTAAAGCACTGGTGGTTCCCTAACACAATAAAGTCCAGCTAAGGGGGAAATGCTGGGGTGTGCTGGTACCGGTCCATGCAAATCCTCAGCTTTAACAAACCATTGATGAATACTGTGAATAGAACCGGCTGCATCCACAGACCCGGCATCTGCTAACTAGCGACTTTCAGCATGTGCCTGTTGGCTTTTTTATTCCTCACTGGGATACGTAGTATAGTGTTGTAACATAGTAGGGAATTCTGGGATAAATGGTCACTTTTGATCCTGGTTCCCCTAGATTTCCTTAAAGAAGTAATGAAAGCCCCAGGAATTCATGTGGGAACAATTTGCATAAGGTACCAGATCTTGGCCAGCAGGTTCATTTTTATACCATTAATTCCACTGTGACGGGTCCCCTGTGCACCAACTGAGCACACCTGTCTGAACAGTTTCTCCCCACCGCCAAACCACAGATGTCAGCCCTTTCACGAAGACTGTCAGCTAATACCTCTCCCCCAAGAACAGCAGACACACACAGCTTGAGGGTAGAACAGGAACTAGTTTTTATTAGACACACCCAGGTATTTGTATACAAGTAAACTCATTAGTAAACACACAAAGGTTTGGAACAGCAACCAATCAAACTGGGGCCTAAACAAACCGCCAATCACACTAAGCCCATTAATAACCAATAGGACACACCATCAGAGAACACCTACTTTGCATGCACAGGAAAGCATTATGCTTTAGGTAAAGGGATTAACACACTGTCAATAATAGGTGTCTCAGCTCCCTGATTCACAAAGGGAGAGTCCCAACCCCCACCCACGTGGTCACACAGTCTCTGGTTCAGCACCATCTTGTCTGTCCATGTTGTTGCTAGGTCGAAGTCTGTGCAGTCTAAATGGCCCCTCCCCACCAGCACCCACCTAAACAAAGGAGCCCTTGATGCCCAAGTGACGGCGTACCAGCGTTCCGTCACATCCACCAAACCACAAAAATGAATATTGTACCAAACACTGCATTGCAAGTGATGCAATAGTAGGAGAAATGGATATATACAGAGAAGGTCTCCTGGCGTTCAGACCCCTATATATCTCAGACAACGTTTGTAGAGCCATCTCTCATGTGGACCTACAGTGATAAAGGGATTATAACAGGTTATTTGTACAGGGCAGTTATGAGCAAAGTTTTAAAAGTGGAGCAATCACTATGGAAACCAATGTCTGATTGCTGGACTTTGCTCCTTATAAACATTCTATATCTGCGGTTTTACCAGAGACCATTATTTTACAATGTATTCAGGCAGAGAATCCCCCAGTGGGAACTTCCCCCATGTCCCCTGACTTTCCCGTGCTTTGTGTTACAATGTCCCAAATCCAGCCAGTGCTTGGATAAACCACAAGTAGGTGATAAGACAGAGTAAGAAGATTTCATGGGATATCAATGGGCAGGAGATTGTGATGGAACTCTGTAATTCTGCACCCAGATGGCACATAGACAAACGAAACCCATTAAGGGACATGTTAGTAAAACCATTTATATCACGACAATCAGAATTAGATATGGGTCATTATGGGGTTAATGTTTGCATATTATTCCGATACGATAGATAGAAAATTATTCTGATACCATAGCTTATTATTCCAATATGATAAATAGCATATTATTACGATTTAATACATAGCATATTAGTTCCACAATTCTGTAAAAGATTTGGCCAAACACAGCATTGAAATCTATGTTACAGCGCCCTCTAGTGATCCAGCTGCAGACTACGCAAATCCTGAATTTAAGTACCTAATTATTATTTTTTCCTACCCAGGTCTGTGCTATGTACTTGGAGTGTTAGCCCAGACAGAGATTACGCGTGTAGCTGAGGAGAACGTGACGCTCCCCTGTCAGCATCGCCTGGGCTTACTTGGGGAACAGAGCTTGGATATTGAATGGCTGTTAAACCATTCAGAGCAGAGAAAGTCCGTGGTAAGTTTTCACAATCAGATAATGTTCTCACAATATGTAAATCAGGGATCCTCAGCCGTAAGCGTGGTAAAGCTTCATGGGAGTCGAAGTCATGCAATAGCTGGGGATCTAATTTGTCCACCCGCATCACCCCCACAAGTGTATATATATTCATCGATTTAATATTTTTATACAAGCTTTTCAAATGATTTCATATTTTTGCATAAACTTTAGAAATATTTTTTTTCTAAATGTTAATATAAAAAATATATAAAAAATACATTTTTAAAAAATATCATAATATTAGTAAATTAAAATATTTTTCATAATATTGAATAATTTTAAAGAGTTTGTCCAAGATTATTAAATCATTTGAAATGCTTATCCAACATTAATAACTTGAGGCCATAATGGGTAGATTCCCAGCTGGCGTACTACATAACCATAGATCTGCAAAGCATCATGGGAGATATGTCTCATTTTGCCAAAGGATCATGGGAAAAGCGAAGCTATTTACATGGAATGCCTTGGCTTTGCCTTTTTAGAAAGCATTTATGTTTAGTGTAGTGATTAAAAATCTGTCTGTTTATCTGTCTGTCTGCGTCTTTGTAAACCATGAGCTTGTGCATGATTTGTTTGTAATCACTACCTTTGCAGCTAATCAGTTACAGCGCTGGGAGAATCTACGAAGGAGAGAATGCGCGCGGACGTTATAGCTTTGCCTCCAATTTCCTTGCCGGAGATGCTGCAATACTTATCACATCTTTGCAACCCAGTGATGCGGGACAGTACATCTGCAAGGTGAAGAACGCTGGGCAATATGAATGGAATCACATTAGATTAAAGGTTTTAGGTGAGTAAATATTCTGCAGTGATTTGTCGTTATACATTCCATAAAAACAAGAAAAAAACATCAATTCGAACGATTGAGTGATTACCGGGGCAGATGTAAGGTGCGATGGTTGGGTTGGGCTGGTTAGGCTACAACAAAATCTGCTAATCTAGATTTTCTGTACAGACCTGAGGAGCTCTGAGTTGTCGTTGTTTTTGAGTGCACAACACAGCCTCAAAGCAACTCCAGTAATATGCCTTTAAACTACAGTTTAGACACATTTGGGTTCCTTTCGTGACAATTCATGGAACATTTATCAGTGAAATTCCGTTTTAGCTTTTCCTGATTTGTATTTGATTAATGTGGGGAATCAATGCTCACTTTAAGAAAGTTGAATTGTGACATTTAAAAAAGAAAAAATCTGTTAAAATTTGCTACAACAGATTAGTCATTTACTAAATAAATCTGAAGAAGAGATTGAGAAAGTATAAAGCTGTCACAGCAATTGCGGTTGTTCTCCTCCAAATTCCACCTTTACCTCTGGGTGTTGGAAGGGCTGGCAGAGTCCATGTTTTTGTCAAACTGCTGAGAATGGTTTAAAATTGCTTTAATGTCATTTAAAGGGACACTATAGGCACCCAGACCAATTGATCTCATTGACGCGTGTAGCGGATAGCTGATTTCCCACAGCTAAACTCCACCAAGTACTTTAAGAGGATGCAGGAACACGTAATAAATCCAAGAGAATATCCAGCACAATCAGCATTACAATCCAATAATATCCCATCACTTTCCCCAATCACTGGACGACACACAGTATCAGGAGTAGAACTAACTTTTAATGGCAACATTCCTACTTTTATGAGATTCTCCCATGCAAGGGAGGGATTTACCACAATTAGTAAATTATCCAATCCCATCGACGTTACCTCCCACACATCTCCTCCCCTTAGATTAGCACTAAATACAATTATACACAGCACATTTTTCCCCACTTTTCAGATGTACCCCAAATAGGTGGAATATGCCCTTAAATATGGTACCCCCTGGTAGCCCTGATCTTGGTGAGAAACATATCCGAAAATCACCCAGATCAGACCAGGGGTTCGGGAGTTATGGGAAGGTAAAGTTTTGACCGACTGCATGGGCAAAGTAGCCGAAAATAGTTCCATGAAATCTGGCCCTGCGGTCGGTCTTCATCCGTGCCCCAAAAGTCCCGAATTGCTATAACATCCATAGTGCATTCAGTAACCGGATGAATCCCCTAGTTCGTGGGATTCATCCTACCGAACGCTGGGCCGTTCGTGGGTTTCCATCCATGCATTCTGAAGCCCTGGAGGTCTTAGCAGTGTTCGGCTAGTCGATTGTCCGTTTTCAGTTCCAGACACTCGACAACCAAACATCGCTGTTCGCGGATTTAAAATGGCGGCCGCCACGTGTTCGGCTGCCGAAATGGCGGCGGTTCGTGCGTACAAGGGAATGAAAAGCAATCAGGGAGGTAAATTATATCCATTATACACATCAGGGTGGTCCAGTTCATTCGGTACTTTGTTCGTATGGTGAATTTTAGTCGTTCACATGTCAGCTGGTATTCCCATACCGAACAAAGTATGTCCATACCTAGTCACTTAGAGTTTTGTGTACTCAAGGCACAGGAAAATCTCTGCAGGGCCAACAATCAATAAAAGAAATAGGACAGCCAAAAGGGGTTCCGCTACAACGTGGTCTGGGTGCAATGTCCCTGTCCCCTTAGCCCTACAATGTAAAACACGTTTTAGAGCAGGGGTGCCAAAAAGATCCCCAGATGGTTTTAAACTATAGCTTCCAGGATGCTTTGTCTTTCTAATGCATTTTAACCCCTTGGTGACCAGACTGTTTTTTAATTTTCTTACCGGTAAGGACCAGGGCTGTTTTCACATTTCTGCGGTGTTTGTGTTTAGCTGTCATTTTCCTCTTACTCATTTACTGTACCCACACATATTATATACCGTTGTTCTCACCATTATATGGTCTTTCTAAAGATACCGTTATTTTCATCATATCATATATAATTTACTATAAATAAATTATAAAATGTGCTGAAAAAAACCAACAAAACACTTTTTCTAACTTTGACCCCCAAAATCTGTTACGCATCTACATTCGCCAAAAAACACCGGTGCTAAATAGTTTTTAAATTTTGTCCTGAGTTTAGAAATACCCAATGTTAACATGTTCTTAGGTCCTCCTGAGTAAAACAGTACCCCCCGTGTACAGGTTTTAGGGTGTCATAGAAAGTTACAGGGTTAAATACAGTGCTAGCAAATTAAATTCTCTGGACTTTCGGCCTGGTTGTCAGGCAGGTCCCTCAAACTGCAGTCAATAAAATTACTGAATTATGTAAAAATATTACATACATATGCACGTAGAATTTAAATATATATATATTTGTATATTTATGAAAGTAATTATGTATATGGATTTATATCCATATATCCCAGGAATTGTGTGTGATGGGATTCAGGTTTTATAAAAAAAAGAATATTTAAATTGCACGGTTTGTAATAGTACGTTTCCCTTTCAGTTAAGCCGTCAGAGCCGGAATGCCAGATAGACGGAGAGCTGCTGGCAGGAAAATCTATAACCTTACTCTGCAACACATCAGCTGGCACTGCGCCCATCTCCTACCGCTGGCAACGGATGAAATACAGAGAGGACGTAACAGTGGCCATGCCAAAAACCGCCCGCATTGGTGAGATCAATACGTTTATGCAGTAAATCATTTGACCTGTATGGTATTGTCTAAACGAGGCTCAGAATTTCCAATAACAATTATTTAACAAAATCTACTGAAGAAAAAAATTTTTTTACCATTGTGTAATGTGCAACACCTGCAAAAATACTACAGTGAAAAACAGAATTGTAAAATAATTTATATTGTTTATAAAGTGTCAGTTAATTCTATTTAATATTGGATAACTATAACCACCATGCGCGCTCTCACCGTATTTATTTGCACAGTTTATTATTGCACATTACACTTGGGTGAATTAAATAGTTTCTAGTTACTTTGATAGACCTGTAGAGCCGAGGGACCTGCCTATTCTTTGCTTTTGTTGCCCCAGAAAGCCCATATTTTATTGCCATTAAAATTCTCTAATTATTTAGTCTTTCACGAAGAGTTAAATTGTATCTATGATGCGATTGGCTGAAAACATCAAGTAGCCAATCAGAATAAACCTCATGTGGTTGTTGTTTTTTTTTATTATGTATCTCTCTGGAATCGTTAATGCTTACTTTGTGTATCTGTCTATGTATGTGCTAGTTTAAACAAGATGGCCTTAATACTGTATATTATTGTCTATTAGATAATCCGCAGCGACTCATGTTGCAGAATCTCACCATAGCTGATAATGGATCGTATCTGTGCGTGGTGAGCAATGACGCGGGCAGGAGGAGTTGTAGCTTGCATCTGATAATAAAATGTGAGTAAAATGGTGAAAACCGCCTGGATTACCCACAGCTAGACGGCAGATCACCGATACACTAAGTTACATTAAACTGTCATTGAAGCTTTGGCAACTTTCTGGGCATTTAGATATACTTACAGTATATAACAGGAATATTTTTATATTATACACATTTAAAGGGGTATTCACTAACGGGAGAATTGTCGAGAATTCCAAATAAATGCAAAGTAAATTTCTAATGTAAGGGCAATGCAAGCGAATTGGAAACATACTCAGAGTCAGCTATTTCTCCAAATAACTGGTTTAATGGATTTAAATAATGATCAATTCTATATATCAGGGTTTCAAGACAATTCTTCTTATTCTATATTTGATATTTGTATTGTGTATGTGCATGGCACTGTGTGTGTGGCAGTGTTTATGTGCGTGGCACTGTGTGTGTGGCAGTGTTTATGTGTGTGGCAGTATGTGTGTGTGTGTGTGGCAGTATGTGTGTGCCTGGCAGTGTGTGTGTGCCTGACAGTGTGTATGTGCCTGGCAGTGTGAATGTGCCTGGCAGTGTGAATGTGCCTGGCAGTGTGTGTGTTCGTGGCAGTGTGTGTGTTTGTGGCAGTGTGTGTGCGTGGCATTGTGGATGTGCGTCGCAGTGTGTTTATGCATGGCAGTATGTATGTGCATGGCAGTGTGCTTATGCGTGGCAGTATGTGCATGGTTGTATGTGTGTGCATGGCAGTGTTTATGTGCGTGGCAGTGTTTATGTGCGTGGTAGTGTTTATGTGCGTAGCAGTATGTGTGTGCATGGCAGTATGTGTGTATTTGTGGCAGTGTTTATGTGCATGGCAGTATGTGTGTGCGTGGCAGTATGTGTGTCTGTCTGGGTGTGTGTCTGTGAGTGTGCCTTGAATGCATACTTGTGTGAGTCTGTGAGCGTGTATCCTGTGCACACGATGAGTATTTATTTGCCTGCAGGAGGGTGCAGGCTGTAAGGGACCCCAAGAGTTCTGATGACAGTCTTATTAAAATTAGAGAGTAGATTATGTTGCCTAATAAAATCTAGTCCAAAGCTCCCCCAAATATTTCAAGTTATGTTAATGTTAATACGAAGAATATATAGAATGTGCAGTAAGCATGTGATCACGGTTTTGTTATTTTGTGTCTCTGTGTGTAGCGGATACAGTCAATGTGGGATTCCTAGCCGGGGTCACATGTGGGGCTGTGGCAAGCGTCATCCTCGTATGTATTGCACTCTGGCTCCTGTTTCGAAAGAAAGAGCTGAAGAAACGCGAAGAGGATGAATTCCTTAATGAAATTAGGTAAATTAACTAATATTTTCAATAAAGAAATTTTAAAAACAACCAAAACAAATAAATGGTGAATGGCAGCAATACCTGGCTACACATACTGTATATTAACCACACAATGCCTTTCATAATTATTTTGCTGGGCATGCCACCACCCTGATTGCTAAGATAACAAATGACACTTGCTTTTAGACTACAAATGCTGTCGCTGGAATCCCAACGCATTCTTCATCTTTCCAGCCTTGTGCATAAGAGCATTTCTGGGAAGCTCCCACCCTACCTGAGTAGAATGCTCTCCCCGGGTGTCCCCACCTCCTATAACCTCCGATCCGGTACTAGCACGATATTTAGCATACCGCAATACAAAAATAAAGTGGCTCGATACTCATTTTCCTACAGAGCACCGCAATTATGGAATAACCTCAGGGACACGATCACATCTTCATTCAATCTAAAATCGTTTAAGAGATCTATAGCAACATACCTCCGTACAGAATGCACCTGTCATGGCTGAATATATGTATTACCTATTATGTGTTAAATGTATATATATTATAATATATATATTGTATTCTTTTTTTGTAAGATTATATCGTACCCTATTGTAACAATGCAGTGTTTGTGAGCCCAGGACATACTTGAAAATGAAAGAATCTCAATGTTTCCTTCCTGGTAAAATATTTTATTATAAATAAATTACTCATATCCTCTTCCCACCATCTCTCCCATTCCCCGTGTTAATGGCCGCTTACCTGGGTGTCTAGTGGAGGCCATCGGATTTTCTTATCTCAGCGTTGCCATCTGTTGCAGGTGTGAACTCTGCTTCTACCCTTATCGCGAAAGAACTACAGTAACAGCGGGATTCAATGGAGCAGAGGACAATCTTGTCCATTAGAGGTTCTGAATTAACATCCCTTAAATCCCTCCTTAGTAACACCCATGGCATAAACTTATACAAATGTTACAGACAAACTATCCTGAATTCAGCCTTGTCATCTGCTGCAGTGTCCCTGCTCTCCTGGTGCCCCTGTGGAGCCCTTTAAATCGTGTTTTTATGCCATGTAGATATGTGAGGTAAACGGGTCGCTTTGTGTTGGAACTAATCAATTACTTTCAATGGGGATTTATTTGGGTATTCAGTTTTATTCGGGAGAATATTGCCAGAGAGCGTGTCTTATTCTTTCAGAATGCAAATAAAGGAATTTAAAAAATACATATAAATAAAAACTACTTTTACAAAGAAACCTTTACAGCTTCATTGCAATGTTTTATTTTTTTAGTCATTATTGCTTCCTTTTTCTAATTATTGTGTTTCATACAGGGAGGATGCAGAGGCCCCCAAAGCTCGCCTTGTGAAACCAGGATCGTCGTCATCTGGTTCCAGAAGTTCCCGCTCAGGATCTTCATCCACGCGGTCTACAACCAACAGTGCCTCTCGCAGTCAGCGAACACTCTCCACCCAGGAAACAGCTCCCGGAGAGCCAAGGCACCACTGTCTGGACCAGATCTAAATGGAGACAGGATGACAAGGGTGAAAGGGAAAAAGAATGTACATGATTTTCAAGCGCCATTTAAAAAAACAAATTTCGGTTCTGCCGGATCTGGACACGTCTTATTTAGGATGCCATGGTCATATTTTATACCATTTCTGACCACTTTTGGTTACTTTCCGTCACTATGTCACCAGTAGAGATATTGCACCTTGTTTAAAAAAAAAAGAAAGAAAAAAAAAAATCACGATTTTTAAAGACTTTAGACGTGAAGAAGATCCAGAAAGGCTATTACACTGAATGAAGACGGCAGATAGAATATGAACGATGGAAAGGGAGTGTAAGCTCCTATGCTTGTTTCGTGTGAATAATTTATATACCACAAGTCAGCATAGAGGAGATTATTCAATATGTGGAATTATTTAGCAATGTGAATTTTTTGTAGAACAAAAACTCTCCAGCAATTTTACGATGAAGGTACACGTTGACGTATCCTTTGTGGGAAGGGTATTTTCTTATAATTAATATTTTGTTTATTTTTGACACCTGGTACGGAAGAACATAATCTTCTGGAATAAATGTGAGTGAAGAAGCTCTTTTAGTTTCAAGGATGGCTTCTTTCAAAATCGTCTTAGTGAAAAGTCGTCCAAGCTCTTTCACTATTATTCCTTCGAAGTATGAATTAAGACAAACCATAGAGCAGGGTTGCCCAGATTCCTCCTCTGAATAGCCCCAGGAAGTCTAATTAAACCATGGTTTCATTTGCTTTACACGATAGAAAATGTTCTAAGACGATGGTTCAGAAAATATATTTTTGGAAATAAACAAACTTGCAGACATGAACATGTGCAATGTGCCACTTGTGTTACAGACGATTCCATAGAATATTTTTACTGTGGGCTCCAAAAAATAACAAAGACCTAGCTCTGAGAGAAGATTTGGAGACCTTAAAATTAGCCAATAAGAAATGGATTTAATTCTACTTTAAAACAGGCCTCTTAGGGCTCCTGAAAGTTATAATTGAAGAGGCTTTCTCTATACATGGGACCTGTATATCTATTGCAGCCCTGACCCCCTAGTTACCATCCCTATATGTCCCGTCTGTATAGCATGATCACCTAAGCCAGGGGTAGACAACCCTTACACTCCAGATGTGGAGGACTACATCTCCCATGATGCTTTGCCAGCATTATGGCTGTAAATGCCCTGTATAGCCTGATTCCCCCAGGATCTTTTGAAATGTTGTTTCCCTCTCTTATAACCAGAAATGGTCCATTCCTCTATATATGAAGAAGGAATGAGATGGTATCAGGGGACAGGGTAGCTGACCGTTTTTACAAGGGTTTGACAGTGGGTCGTCATGCTGAGAGAAGGGATTAGATTATCAAAAATACTAAGGCCCAAAAGGTCAGTATTTGGAGACGGATTGACTAAAAATGGTATCGAACATCTGTGTTGAGTATTTTACTTAGAGCTCTATGGATTTGTCTCTACATTCTACCTTAGAATGTCATACGAGTTTTGCAAATGTCTGCCAGCTCAGTGTAATTTGATTAAAAAAACAAACTTGAACTTGGGTACCCATTGCCAAACCTGTATCAGAACGAGAAATAGAATACCAATAAAAAAGGTTAAATTATGATAGCGAAAGGTGTAATATTCTAAAGATCCCAGTTCTGTTTCATGTCGACGCATATAATCTCTGTAATCTGCAACTTCTATATTTTTTTATAAAAGGTAACAGTTTTTATATCAGATATAATTTATGTTAAAATGCATTTTGAATATTCCTCGTATTTTGTTGTCTAATATAAAGTAGTCTGCGCTACCTTTTATTTTTAACTGACGGTTCCATATTTTCAGTGATTTATAAAATACAATAAAAGGAGACTTTGTCAATCCCTGAAATGGGCCAAGCTCACCCCTGGATTATCTTATTGTCACCCAGCGATCATCGTGCACACCTCACCCTAGTACAGTGTGAAAGTCTTGCCACTTATACTAACTGCTATTTATTTACCAGGGTTAACTTTATCTCTTGTAATGGAAGCCAGCCCAGATCTGTTTGGACGTCCGCTGCTGAGTTTTCTGATAATTTCTGCTGTTGCAATGCAACCACAAACTTGGGGAACGGCCGGCATGAACTCAGCAGTGCTTTGATGATTTTGGGAAACAATATCTGCAAGCTTACATTGAGATTTAGCTAACCCTTCAGCAATTCTCTGGGGGTTTGCAAGTGGGCAACATAAGAGATTTATCACTTAGTATAAGTGTGCGTTGAATACAGTGATTTTATATAGTCAGAAGGATTGTATATAGGGGTCATGGCACAAGTGAATATCCGTTATATCCGTCTTTATAAAGCTGGGATAAGACCCAAACACCCATCTCCAATTAAATAACTTGGTGATTAAGTCAAACCATACGGCCGTATCGTGCATTGCTCAGTTGTAAAGGTTTTGGTAAATCCTAACCTATCTAACTTGGGAGGTTACACCGTTAGTCTGCATTAGTTACACTTTCCCTAAATCCTCTATCTCATGAAAGAATGTTCCTGGCTGGAAGTGACCCCCCATTTACGAATGTATTAAATTGATCATGAGCAAACACTTTTTTAAAAATAGAATTATCTTTTTTATTCTATTTTTGAAGAACGATATACACACGTACCATTTAACATTTCTACAGCTGCTTCCTTTCTTTCTGGTCTGTGGGATCTGATCTCTCATTCAGCAGACCTGATGAGGGGGTACAGGTGTGATTTGTTTATTCACAGCCCCTTTCACGTTATGTTTACAGTTTGTATGCTGTGGCTATGCACTGCTTTCGGTGCGCATGGTATTTGGAGGATTCTGAAGCAGTTTGCTTAGTATTCGTGGTATGCGTCCGTTTCCTGTATAAATTAAGAACTGTCCCAATAAATCGCCTTCCCTCCACTAATTACCATAAACAGTACGGAAATTATAAACTCTGTGTAAACAATGTAATAACAAGGGACACTCATAAAATGAAAAATGAAATAAAAATAAAAAATGCATGCATTTAATAAAATACAGGTTACAAAAGACTAATCAACCCCTCTGACCCATCCCATCCTCAGCCCTCAGATTGCATAAAATCCTCCTAGAACCATTAGACTTTTCCGTGCTGCATTATAGCTAGATGTTTTGTAAGGTGCCTTATTGTGTGTATGATCACAAATAACTACCTGCTAAAAATATGTTTGGGGGACTTTAAAGGGACACTATAGTCACCAGAACAATTACAGCTTAATTTAGTTGTTCTGGTGAGTATAATAGCTCCATTCAGGCATTTTCATACTTACATTGCCCCTAGGGACACCTCCAAGTGGTCACTCCTTAGATGGCCACTGGAGGTGCTTCCTGGTTCACTGCTGCACAGTAGGCAGCGCCGCTGTTCAGCGTCCCCACGCTCTGCATGGAGACCCTGAATTTTCCTCATAGAGATGCATTGATTCAATGCATCTCTATGAGGAGGTCCTGATTGGCCAAAACTGCATTTGGCCCAGCCCCCTTGCCGATTTTAACAAATCCAATGCTTTCCCTATGTCCAATCGTCCATTTTGATGATGTCACAAAGGGGGTGGAGCCATTGCTGGCGGACCCGCGCAGCGCTAGAAATAAGGTGAATTTTAAACTTTTATAAAAGGGGCTGGGGGGAGCATGATACCTAAATGGTGGGTTTAGAACTATAGGGTCAGGAATACATGTTTGTGTTCCTTACTCTTTAGTGATCCTTTAAGCCCAAACTGTGTTCGACTCACACTGACTCATCGTTTATTGATGATTCACTTTAAGGTCATGTTAAAAGTGCAGTTAAATAATAGCGCATTGCAATAATGCCAACTACATCATTAAACTGACTCAAAGAAAGACCTGCCATTAAGAAGGACGTACCCTCCAGGTACAGCAGTGTACACAATGCTGTAGGTTTAGGAGACAGAGAGAATGTCCACCTCCCCTGCCATCCATCCCGACTCAAAACACCACACAATATGCACGGACTGTATCACCAAACCAAGAAAGAATGTCTTCCTCCTCAGCCATCCATCCCGACTCAAAACACCACACAATATGCACAGACTGTATCACCAACCCGACCAAGAGAGAATGTCTTCCTCCCAAGTCATCCATCCCGACTCAAAACACCACACAATATGCACGGACTGTATCACCAAACCAAGAAAGAATGTCTTCCTCCTCAGCCATCCATCCCGACTCAAAACACCACACAATATGCACAGACTGTATCACCAACCCGACCAAGAGAGAATGTCTTCCTCCCAAGTCATCCATCCCGACTCAAAACACCACACAATATGCACGGACTGTATCACCAACCCGACCAAGAGAGAATGTCTTCCTCCCAAGCCATCCATCCCACCAACTCAAAACACCACACAATATGCACAGACTGTACCACCAACCCGACCAAGAGACAATGTCTTCCTCCCCAGCCATCCATCCCACCAACTCAAAACACCACACAATATGCACGGACTGTATCACCAACCCGACCAAGAGAGAATGTCCACTTCCCCAGCCATCCATCCAGAGCCAAAACATGACGCAATATGCATGGACTGTATCACCAACCCGACCAAGAGAAAATGTCCACCTCCCCAGCCATCCATCCAGAGCCAAAACATGATGCCATATGCACGGACTGTATCACCAACCTAACCAAGAGAGAATGTCTTCCTCCCAAGCCATCCATCCCAACTCAAAACACCACACAATATGCACAGACTGTACCACCAACCCGACCAAGAGAGAATGTCCACCTCCCCAGCCATCCATCCAGAGCCAAAACATGACGCAATATGCACGGACTGTATCACCAAACCGACCAAGAGAGAATGTCTTCCTCACCAACCCGACCAAGAGAGAATGTCCACCTCCCCAGCAATCCATCCAGAGCCAAAACATGACGCAATATGCACGGACTGTATCACCAAACCGACCAAGAGAGAATGTCTTCCTCACCAACCCGACCAAGAGAGAATGTCCACCTCCCCAGCCATCCATCCAGCGCCAAAACATGACGCAATATGCACGGACTGTATCACCAAACCGACCAACATTTCAAAAGGAGCACTTTAATTTCAAGGATGTGAGTGGGGGTATGGCTAGAGGTGGGGCTGTTATCAGAGCCAGATCAAGGTTACCCAGGGCCCTGGGCAGTGTGTCAGTTTGGGGCCCCTCATAGAGCTCTGGGTTGTTTCTGTGAGTGATATGTGTGTGTTTGTGGTGGCTGAGTGTGTCTGTGTGTGCTGGTTGAGAGTTGTATGTGTGGTGACTGAATCGTGTGTATATGTATGTAGGGGAGTCTAAGAGTTGTGGGGAGTCTAAGAGTTGTGTGTATGTTCTTTCACCCCTACATTCCCTGGTGGTCCAGTGTAGTTTGCTGGACCCCTGGTGGTCCCATTGGGGAGTTTCCTGATCTGCACCAGTATTGGGTGCAGATCACTTTAAAGGTGCTCTTGTGGTTCAAGCACTCTGAGTCAGCAAGAAGTGATGGGGGATCGTGGTGGTAACCTTAGCGTAGTCTGTACTTAATATTGATACAGACCCTGATGATCTGTAAAGTGAGGGAGCACTGTCCTGTGATTGGGGTTCTTTTTAATTTCCCTGATGTCCTTAAGAAAGCCTGTTTAGAGTTGGAGCTCCAGGCCCAGACAGGGGCTCTAGTCTGCTGCCTAGGTCGAATAACGTTAATCCGGCTTGGGCTGTTCGAAGAAATTTAATGTGACTTAATTCTAATTCTAATATTGCAACTAAAATGTAATTTACAACAAGAACAATGTGTTTTATTTACACAGACTGATTTCTAAACACATTTATTGCAGTTTAAAGACACATTACTGGGAGTATTATTGCTGTGGAGCTCTGTTATACACTCAGACACATTACTGGGAGTATTATTGCTGTGGAGCTCTGTTATTACTCTGTGGAGACACTCACACATTACTGGGAGTATTATTGCTGTGGAGCTCTGTTATACTCAGACACATTACTAGCTGTGGAGCTCTGTTATACACTCAGACACATTACTGGGAGTATTATTGCTGTGGAGCTCTGTTATACACTCAGACACATTACTGGGAGTATTATTGCTGTGGAGCTCTGTTATACACTCAGACACATTACTGGAGTATTATTGCTGTGGAGCTCTGTTATACACTCAGACACATTACTGGGAGTATTATTGCTGTGGGGCTCTGTTATACACTCAGACACATTACTGGGAGTATTATTGCTGTGGGGCTCTGTTATACACTCAGACACATTACTGGGAGTACGTATCAGCATCTCTACTGAGAGAGAATTCCACCAACCTAGCCATCCATCCAGACCCCAAACACCACACATCGATCACCACGCATTAAGCATGGACTCCATCACAAATTCCACAGGAAGAGAGAGAGGTCAACGTTTTGGCCACCCCCTAAACGAAGTTATCAATCTTCATTAATCTAGTTATCGTGAGACAGGCTTGCCTAGCGCAGCACACTCTCGCATATTATTTCAAATCCGACCTTTTTTGGGAGTATACTCTAACACTATATCATAGTTAATGGAACACTGAACGGCAAAATTAGGAGATTAATAACTGATCGGAAACCAGTCTCTAACACACAGTCACAGTTTGGCCCTTCGCCACTCATTACCGTTCGTGTTTAGCATACCTTCCAGTAAATAGTCATTTTTCAAAGCATGGACTTTATTTTGCCAGGGAGTGTTCATACTTTAATTAGGTTATAGCACTTTAATCTTAAATGCTGTATTTTATGTGTTGCCTTTTCCTGCAATATTTTTCTCATAATGTTATGCTTCATCTGATCGTTTTATTTTCTCTTTATTTTGTTTGTTGAAATGTTCATTAAAAAGTCTCAGATGAGTTTAATAAAATAAATAAAAACACTCACTGTGTTAAGTCATTTTACTGACTATTTTTCGTATTTTCTATATATTGTATTTTGGTCTGACGATAGCAGTGCTAGATTGTTTTTCAAAATCAGCAGTTCTAACTTAAATGTTGAAATTAGTTTTTTAATTCATTGCTAAATAATGAATATCAACCTATTGTTCCTGGAACATTTTGTAATTGTCTCATATATTGTTAAATCTCCCCCTCTTATAATATTGTAAAGCTCTACGGAATATGTTGGCGCTATATAAATGCCAATAATAATAATAATATACACAATCTGAAGTTTTCACTTTCCTAAAACATGGGGCTTTGACAAAGAGATTTTCAGTTCTAATAATAATCTTTTTGTTGTAATTTTTCATAATTCGTGGCATTTCCTATAGGAGACGTTCACATAGAACATCTAAGATACATTATGGTTTTAGCTCTAGAGGGAGCCTGTGAGCCAGGGACTTTTCTTATTTATTTTTGGCATTAAAGCGGCACTGTCATGGCCGAATCCTGGTTTTTTTAACCCCCATCCCGACCCCACTACATCTGATTGCCCTAGTTACCCCCAAATGCCCCAAAGAAATTTTAGATGAACAAACACCCAATATTTTTTTTTTAATTTTTTTTTTATTGCTTAGTTATAGAAATGTTTTTCTTCTCAAATAACAGACATTTAAAATACACATACATGTAACATACCTGCCTCACTCTTGCTAATTATTCTCCCTTATCTATTAATTCTACAAGAAGAGGCTGATTATTCATCCCGCCCATTGTCTTTTACTCAACAAAACTCATGGGTGGAGAGCCAAGCGCGGACCCTATGTCTCCATTTAGTTGAATTAAGCCCCCAGATCGCTGTACGGAGCAGCAGGGTGGGGGTTCAGGGGGTATATCATTTATGTACTCCCCTGCTCACATTTCCAAGAGCTACCATGGAGCCATTTATTGGGTGGGTGCAGTAATTTTTTTTTTATTCTTTACAATATAGAATGCTTATCCTTCACGTGCCTTTAGTAGACATGACCTACTCGCGGTATAGTAAGTAGAGGGCAGATAATAGTACTCTAGTAAGTCATTTTTACTATTATATAAAGAAAAATGGAAAGACCAATCTTTTAGTAGGTAGCTCCCTGATACCGTATCGCGCTGGTGTTATAATACTAACCTAGGCAAGCTTGGAGTGGGGCACGGACCGGAATTTATTTATAATAATGAAATTGTAAACTGACCATAAAAGTACCAATAGTCATCCTATCATGATGAACAAACTGTAACTCATACTGTTAGGGCGAAATTTGGTTGTTTCGCGCCGTCGCCGCGTCTTAATGACAGGACGTTCGGGAATACTTAAAGCAGGCATCACGAGATCATGGAGGAAAGGGTGAGTATTGTGGGAATTTTCTCTGACCCACTTGAGTTGGTCAAGCGTAGGAAAAATACATACAAAGTCCCTAATTGTCTTATGTTTTAAGGAAAACTAGATCAGACAAGAAGAAAATAAGAACAGATCCTGAGAGAGGGAGAGAAGAGGAATCGATTGGGGAAAGGTAAGTTCGGCATGACAGCGCCGCTTTAACTATGGCATAGGAAAACACGTTTGAACAACAAGCAAAAAGCCAGCTAGTCTGCCCATTCCTGTTTGATACACGTGCTTTAATCTTAATATTCTTTACTCCTCCAGACAGCTGTATATCTATCACAAACCTGCTTGAACTCTTTCATTATGTTATTCTCTACCACCTCTGCTGGGATGCTAGTCTGTGCATCTACAGCTCTCTCTGTCAAATTGTATTTCCTGCTGTTTAGTCCCCGATGGACATGCTATTGTTTTTGAATCCGCTACATGCCCGACTCTCCAAATTGAGACTATGTCCTCTTGTGTGTGTTGTCCTCTGTGTACAGACAATGCGAGCCCGGCATTCATTCTGGGCAATTGTTTTGCTCCTCTCAATGCATGCGCTGTGGGAGACAGAACAAAAAGTCAAGCAGAGTTATTCTCCAAATTACTAATTAACAAAAATTCACAAGATATCTGCAAATGCTGTGTCAAAAGTAGACGAATAAGAGAAATTCTCTATCTTCCCTCCTGACTTTCAGACAGTATCATAATTAAAGGGACACTATAGGCACCCACACCACTTCAGCTTATTAAAGGGGCTTGAGTGCAGTGTACCTGACCCCTTAGTCTTGCAATGATAGTGCAGTTTTTTTAGAAAATGCAGTGTTTACATTACAGTACAAAGACAGCCACTAGAGGAGTTCTGGGGTGTTCGCTGGACTCTTTATCCCCGGCCTAAATGACGCTGGACGTCCTCACATTCTGCGTGAAGACATCCAGCGTCGGTGAATACCTCATAGGAAAGCATTGAGGCAACCCTTTCTCTGTGGGGAGGCCCTAATGCGCTCGTGGCCCTCCCCTGCCGGGTGACACTGGAGGAGGCAGAGCATGATCCAGCAATGAGGGACATCAGCGCTGGAATCAGGTGGGAGTCAGGTAAGTTTTTAAGCCTTTATGTCCCATGGGGGTGGGGCGAACCAGAGGACACCCTAGTGTTAGGAATAAACCTAAATAACCATGAAGGCGTATTTCTAGACATTTTGTAGTCATCTAAATAAAACAAAAATATGTATGAATTTAAAAGACAATATGTGAGTATGGTCCAATATATAACCACTCATTTTATCAGAGCGCACTATTATGTTTCTTTTTTTATTCATATTTATGTGTCTACTGATGAAGAATCTGTGATACCCACTAGGTGGAACTCATACCACCTTACACCTGTCATATGTGGTGCCGCACTGATCCTGTCCTCGTGAATGCTGCACTTGAAGAAGCCCCTTGTTTGGCACAAAGCATTGTGTGTGTTTTAATATTGTTTTGAAGCATTAAAGTTTATTTGGCTTACACCTATTTTATAATGAAAAACCATTTATTACACTTTTAATGCTTTTTATTATTTTTATTGATTTTTTTTTTTTTATTGTTCCTGGCACATTTAAAACTCTACTCTACATCCAATCCCTGGCAAGAATTGCCTTCAGGAGAATCTACTCAACATTATATCCTTGGTGGGGATCATACCACCCAAGCACCTCTTGAGCAGTGTTACAGCTCTGCTAAATGTGAGTAAATTACCATTTATATTTTATATTTTTACCTTTGTTTGTTTTTACTTAGTAAGCACTATTGTTTGCTTTTTATATCCATCTGGATACTGTGGGACTTACCCCTAAAGAGCTATATATCCACCAGTGGGGATTATACCGCTGTATGCTGGTTTACTCTGAACTGGTCTAAAGCTCTACCAAATGTGAGTGTGATCCCACATATCCTTGTTGTGTGTCCTACACTAAATATTTTACTATCTGCACTATTATTGGTTATTTCCTGTTTTGAATAGAAGGAAACAAAAAAAAAATGGTTAAAAATAGGTATCTGATTATTTGTTTGGTTTATTATTTTCTGTTTTGTTACATATACCCATCACCAACTGAAGCCTGGATGATTTAAGTCAGGACATTCCAAATAATTGTTTTATTGTACACACAGTATTCAGCGCAACCTGTATTTTGCCTTTTGTATTGTTTTGCTTCTTGTCAGTAAGGTGTTGGGGTATTCCTCTCATTCATTGTTTGTAGCTTGTTTCACTGTTTATATTAATTGATTTCTTAGTGCTTGTCCTGTCCTTATTTACATGCAGTACACCCGATCACTTAACGGCGTCTAGTGCACCCACTGACTAGTACAGTGACTTCCTTATTACTCACGCATGCGCATTCAAGTCCACTCTCCTTGGCTGTCAGGTTACATCGATCTCACGCAAGCCTTTCTCGTTATTAACAGTGGCTGGACTTTTTCCAGAGAGACCTCGTATCCTTAAGTGGGGATTGTACCACCGCATGCTACTATTATTGGAGCTGGTCCTTAGCTCCAATACATGTGAGTGTAAAATTCTACACCATTGATTCCTCTGTTCCTGTTTTTCCATATCTGCCCAACAATCCAAAGCGCAATATCACCTGGCTAAAGGATAAAATTCGGGACTGGGTCCATGGGACATTTTTCAAAACATTCCATTGACATTAGTTGAATCCTGTTACTTGTGTTTTCCGATGTCAGTGTGTACGCATAGTTTACTGCGTGTGTATGTCAGTGTGTTTGCACAGTCACTGTTTGTGTCCGTGGGTGTATTGGCGATAAGTTGTTAAACTGTACTGAAACAATATGAGAAATTACACTGGGAGGACACCAGAGTAGTCCAGACACCATAACCACTACAGTGGACTGTAATGTTAATGGTGCTTAGAAAGCTCCTTTAATAAATATTAAAATATATAAAATAAAAAATAATATAGAGAAGGAACACCTGGGTGCACGACTATGTCAGTGATTATCTATATCCTGGAATATGGCTGCCTGATAGAGTCTAGGACCTTCGTTATAACTGGAAGAGCTGATCCTTCTGGTAGTTTGTGATCGACTGGTCCTTCCCGTATTTACCATAGAAACATAGAATGTGACGGCAGATAAGAACCATTCGGCCCATCTAGTCTGCCCAATTTTCTAAATACTTTCATTAGTCCCTAGTCTTATCTTATAGTTAGGATAGCCTTATGCCTATCTCATGCATGCTTAAACTCCTTTACTGTGTTAACCTCTACCACTTCAGCTGGAAGGCTATTCCATGCATCCACTACCCTCTCAGTAAAGTAATACTTCCTGATATTATTTTTAAACCTTTGTCCCTCTAATTTAAGATTATGTCCGCTTGTTGTGGTAGTTTTTCTTCTTTTAAATATAGTCTACTCCTTTACTGTGTTGATTCCCTTTATGTATTTAAATGTTTCTATCATAGCCCCCCTGTCTCGTCTTTCCTCCAAGCTATACATGTTAAGATCCTTTAACCTTTCCTGGTAAGTTTTATCCCGCAATCCATGAACCAGTTTAGTAGCCCTTCTCTGAACCCTCTACAGAATCTATCCTTCTGAGAT